TGTCGAAGTGTCCTTGAGCAAAATACTGAACCCCAAATTGCTCCCAATGCTTTGCATCAGTGTATGAATGTGTGAATGGGTTGAGTGTGGCATGTAGTGTACAGCGCATTGAGTGGCCGAAAAGGCGCTATACAAGTACAGTCACCATTCACCATTTGCCATTCCCTCAGTGGCAACCAGCAGAAACACTGAAAAGTCAAATATGATGATACTCAAGTATCATCCATACATTAAGTGATATTTGAATATATCGAATATATTTGAACATCAATTAAAAGCTAGTAGCTGGATTTGTTTTGTTATTGAATGATGGTGGTCAAAGACAAAATAAACAGATGCTTACTTTTAGTGGAAGGTCTAACTGCTCCACTGGTTGCTGCTCATTAAGCTCACTGCTTTTGAGTGCACTGCAATAACTGAAGGAGTGAATTCTTTCAGATTCTGCATTTTCATCTGCTTTCTCCCACAAATGTTCCCATGGAAAAACCCTCATACCACAGCTCATGAAGAAAAGCAGGAGACATTTTCACGGCACTGTGGTAAAGGCTATGAAAATATGGACCTCCGCTCTGTTTGTTTACCATAAGAAACCGAACATCATTGTCATCACTGTCATCATTATGTAGATCTGTTCTTGGAAATTTGTGAAGGGTTAGGGTGTGAGATTTCAGCATGTTGAAAAACCCCTGCATGTGGAATTGACTCTTGATATTCACTTGCTTTAATTTGTGTTTAGGTGAAATAGATAAATAACATAAAAATATAATTTGGATCCTTTGCATTGTGGTCTCAGAACTGGTCCAGAGTTCGACATCTGTACTCCATCTGTGAATTCAAACATCTTGGCCTGAAGAGGCTATAAAGTCCTTTTGAGAGCTAATGAATCAGGTTCTGAGTGATTGTTAAACCTCACAATAATGTCATGAAATAGCATACTATCGTGGCTTGATTTATTGGGAAAATTTGATTTTTTACAGACATATACATATAAATACTATGCCAACATTTTTACGGTATAAGGCAAATGACAATTGATATGTGTTTTTTAAATTAAAGGTTCAACCTACTATGACAATGTGCGGCCTCTCTCCTATCCTGATGCTGATGCAGTCCTCATCTGCTTTGACATCAGCAGACCAGAGACATTAGACAGCATTCTTAAGAAGGTGAGTCTGTTGTAGTTGGAGTTACTTCCTCTGGTGCCCTAGTTTCTTGTAAGGTATATACTATATGCCTTTATACTAGATATATACTACATTCATGTGCTTCACCAGTGTTCTCCATAGTGTTTTGGAGTAGGCTGCTAAATAATAAAAAGTTGCCAGACAGGTAAGTTTGGAGACAATGAGACACACATACAGTTTGCTGCTTTCTTATTACAGAACCATTTCATTCTCTGCAAGTATAGTAGGCTGATGGTCTTATTTGTTTATGTAGGTTATATAGATGCATCAGTATTAAATTGAGACTGTTTCATTACCATTTAAAAACTAGTTGTAGTACATTCAAGGATTGAATCAAGTTCCTGTCCTGAACTTTTTGTACTTTAAATTAGAGCTTCTATTATTTCCGAAGTCCTTGCTATACTTATGAGTATACAAAACAATAGTAAACTGTGAGTTTGCTTATACATTTTGAAAATTACACTGACATCTGGACTTCTGTCCAAAGTATGATTGGTAAAATGATGTTAAATAAAAAGAGAACACACAAAATCATAAATCACTAATGGTCTCTTGCTGTTTGAATTTTCTGTCCAGTGGACAAGAGAGATTGAGGAGTTCTGTCCCAACACCAAGAGGCTGCTGGTAGGTTGTAAGTCAAACCTCCAGACCTATTCGCCAGGTCCAACAACAGACAGACTCCAGTATCATATGTTCAGGTGGGTGAACGCTTCCGATTTTCTTGTAGTTCCTTTCATCAGGAAGTTTTGGGACAATATCAGTTCTGTTTTTTAAATTTGATTCTATTTAAGAGACCTCGAGGGCTATGGCACTATGAATGGAGTTGCACCTACTCAGATTTAACTCGGTACTACAGTACTACGACAGTGTCAGATGTCAGTTAGTTGACTCAGTGTCAACTTAATCTGCGGTTGTGCGAGCATATAAGGGGGTATAGAATATACTATGATAATATCAAAATATGAGGAGTTTAAAGAAAAGTTAATGGTAATGCTAATTTCACCACAGTAAGGGCCAACAAAGCCAGGTAGGCTTGTTCTAAATGAGGCTTAATTAGGAAGTAACATTCTAGTGTTCATGTTGTAGATTCTCTATTTTTCTCATATGGACTTATTTGTGATATGATTGTATATGGCTGCAGTAAATTTCCAAATTTAATTATTTGAAATTAATGAAAAATAGATACCTTTCATACTTTTGACACAGTCTTGGTGGAAGAGACTTTTCCATTGGTGTGTATTGTGCAGAATGTTCAGAGCTACAGTGGGTGACATCATCACTAGAGTGGCCAGACAGTTTGAAATTGCCTAAAAATGTTGTCTTAAATTAAAAATTTGACTGCACATACCTGATATGTGCATCAAAACACACAGGCCCAGTGTGTGTCCAGGCCCTTGTGAGCCCCTGGATTCATTTTTGTCAGCTATTAGAGCTGTATATCAGTATAAAGAGTAAATACTGGGAATGCAGAGTATCAATGTGATGTTCTGTTTTTCCTTTTGATGTTTCCTTTACCAGGGCTCCAACACAGCCAAGCAACTGAGCACCCCCTACCTGGAGTGTTCCTCCCTGCAATCTGAGAACAGCGTCAGAGACATTTTCCATGTGGCTACGCTGGCCTGTTTCAACAAGAACAACAAGAACATGAAGAGGAGGAAGTCTTCCAGAGACACCAAGAGGATGTCTCACAGTGGACCAGGCATACCAACTGTGGTAACCACACATTATCAGCAGACCAAAGCTAATAGCTGTGCTGTCATGTAAACATAAATACACACTTCTGAGGACAGTGCTGAAAGGCAAACATCTGGAACACTTTCTGAACAAACACAGATTGGTTATTTTTTTATTGTCATTTACATTGTATGATATTTAGATAGTAGTTCCCTTTGTGCTACTTGTAAAACAAAATAAATATGGATTGATAAGTCATAAAAAGTACTATTTTGCATGAAAAGAAGCAATACAATCAGGCTGTGACATTACTCTGAGACGCACGCACGCACACACACACTTATCTACATGTCAGGACACTGGGTGGAACATCACACTGGTCTTGCCAATGGCCACCAAAATACCCCTCACCATGTTATATGCAAACATTAAATCAAATTCATATAATCATCAACTCTCAGAACAGCAAATCTGTTCAAATTCGGACAAGAAATACACAAAAAAAACAAATCACAAATATGATGTTCTATCCCCAGTGGTTAGAGAGGAACTACTTTCCTTATATAATGTATAATAATATAATGTATCAAGTCACTCATCCTATTCCATTGTGTCCTCACAGAGGAAGGCCTGCAGAGCCTTTCCACTGGAGATGTACTTGATGCTTTCTATCTCACCACCATAGTTGCTGGGCTTCTGGAAATGGATCTCCAGGTGGTCCTGCAGGTCCTCCTCATCTTCCACATCCTCGATGTCATCCAGGAGGATGGTTCGCTTTGGCGAGCCACAGTAGGTCTGAAATTAATCACCAACATTAGCTTTGTCATTACTGTGCGCAGTTACACCAAGTCAGATGAGATGGATATTGATCACCAACCAAAGTCAGCACAGCTTGAGCTAAATTTTTGAAATAACTGACTGAATATTGCAGATGAGTGATGTACTGTAGAACTCAGTGTGTTTTATAATATTAATGAACAAAACTTAAATTTTTAATTATCATTGTCCACAATTTGATTAAGTAGTAACTAGCTGTCAGATAAATGCAATGACGTAAAAAGTAAAATATTTCCCCATAAAATATCAGTCTATTGGGGAGCCTTTCGCCAAAGCTTCTGTGCAGCTATCAGTTAGTCTAGGAAATTGTAACACTGTTTTGGTTTGCAGTATGGGAGCATTAAGGCTTCTGCACACCAACCCG